TGCTTCCCAAATACCTATTTAATCTTACAAGAAAACATTGTTCAGATGAGACACTAGATATGAGTGATATTGAAAGAGCTTATAATTTGTCCTTTCCTTGGGTGCATCATTGATTCCTATGCCCAGTACACATTTATCCTAGTTTGCTTTTTCGTGATACAATGACTGTTGGTTAAAAATATTTCCCGTACCATTTCTTGTGGATAAAGTAGTAAGAGTTATTTTTTTGAGGTTCATTATCAAATTTTTGTTGTTTTATTTTTATTTAAATACCACTCCCTGAGTCATGAAGCTTTTTAGCCCACTTACACAGTCACTCCTTGACTTTGCACAGGTTTAGCTTTCATAAAATATATATTTTCGCATAGTGTGGCTTGACACATCTAAGAATACTTTTGCATGCCGAGTTAGATCTCTCATATATTAGTTAAATATTTAGGTATCTTGGTGGATTAGGTGTCTTGGTGAAGCCATCAGTTAAGGGGAAAAGGTTTGCTTGGTCTAGGAATAACATCTCCCAAGAGGGAACCATAAACAGAGATTTTAAATGTAATTTTATCTCTGTAGTTATGAAACTCACATCCCTTTAGTAAATCTAATGTTTGATCCAGACGTGAGGCTTTCAAATGGATTTTTCAGAACATTTTATACTTAAAATGCTTGTATTTTGGCTTTCAAAAGGCAAATAGAAGCAACCACCAACTTTCTATCTCTGCTGAGCTCTCTTCAATAGATAAATGACTAATGTTGGACTCATACAAAACTACCTTTTGGTCAAATTAAATATTCACATAGAAAGGTATACAAAATAAAAAGTCCTCCAGTGATTTAAATGATTAGAGCTAAATTGATACTGTATTACATAAAATTAACCACTTATTTTTTAACAAAGAGAAATTCCTGTTAGAATCTATTATGAAAGGCTGTTGTGTACCCACAGGCTGAATTCCTTCTGATAGTGCTGATAAACAGTAAACAGAAGATTTAGCATGTTCATTCAGCAAATATTTTAATAATCATGTGCAGATCACAAGTTTATTGTGAATGTGTGCCTGCATTAGTTTAATGTACGCACACATAAACACTCAGATGTATGTATGTATGTATAGCTTTTATTTTAATTGATGGTAATTAATCATATGTACCAAACAATATAAATGACTATTTGGTATTACTCATTTAAGTAGCTATACTCATGTTTGCAGGTTTTCCCTTCTCTATTTATTAGCTCTCTGGTATTTATAATCATATTTCAGGGTTAACAGCTTTTCTTAATATTATGTCATTTAATTATAATCATTATACACCTTGACAGTCTCATATTAAAAGACAAGGGTTTGGCTTTTATCCTACAACATCTGTACTTCCCTTATCCCCAGTCATCCTCCATGGATGTAAATTTTCTGTGCTTTGCTCAAATACTCCAACCATGTGTTACCATCATACCTGGCTTCTTTTACTCTGAAACATTGTTCTCTCCCATATGCATTATGCCTGAAGAACTCATCAGCTGCACCTGGCTCTCTTTCTGTCTTTTTGCCACAGGGCTTAAGGTAGCAGATATTATAGGACAATACAGTTATAGACTCACCTGCTTTGGTAGTGATAGCATCACTGTGTTTAGGATTGAGAAGAGAGTAACCCAGGCCAGGGGAGACTGATAACAGAAAGGGAAGGAGTAATATTGAAATGTGTCTTGATCCCTAGTATGTGTTAATTTTTGATCAGAAAGTTAAGCTTCAAAGGAAATCAGAGTTTTAGAGACTGTCTTTACCAGCCCTTTATGTTACCCAGGACCGGAGTGGGTAAATGACTTACTCAGGGTCACACCACCAGTTAATGGTAGAGCCAGAGATAATACGAAGAATCCTATAACTGATATGTCCACTTTAGAAAACAAACAGTTTGGCAATTTTCATATAGCTCAACAGTACTTCTACTCATAGAAGTCCATCCAAGAGAAATGAAAGCATATGTCCAACAAGAAGATTGTACCCAAGTGTTCATAGCAACATTACTCATAGTAGACTGGAAACAGCCCCAAATATCCATCAGCTGATAAATGGATAAGCTAAATGTGGCATATCCAATACAATGGAATACTTGAGCCCAAAAAAGGAATGAAATACTAATATATGTTATATTAATGAACTGTAGCAACTTTATGCTTGATGGAAAATCAGATACAAAAGATTACATGTTCTATGATTCCACTTATATGAAATGTCCAGGAAAGGAAATGTATAGAAAGAGAAAGCAGAGGAGCTGGAAGTGGAGATTGACTGCGGAATGGCTGGAGGGATTTTTTCTTTTTCTTTTCTTTTTTTGAGTGATGGAAGTATATTCTAGAACTGGATTGTGGCAATGACTACACAATATAGAAATTTACTGTAAATTATTGAACCATGCTCTTAAAATGAGTGAATTTTACGGCATATAACTGCAATAAAGCCAAAAGGGGAAAACGTTAAAAAAATTTTCACTTTAACACTCTTAGTTTACTCTGAAGATTCCATTGCATGTGTCTTTTGTCCTGTAATTCTTAAAAGTAGTTGCCTTTCACCAAAAACAGTAAAATCTGACTTGGTTCTTTGACATTTCTCTTAGCCTAAATTAAGAACATTTGGTTTCCTAAGAAAGAGGTTAGTGTCTTAGTAGACATATGTTAAGTTTGCTTATATCATATGTATGTGATGTTACATATCCCCCACAAGATGTGCTGAATGTCACAGAGGCGTATCGTACAGTAGAAACTTAACAGTACCTGCCCGAATTAACAGTACTTTCTGTTCTAGCTGTGAAACAGCCTGATGGATATACAAAGTTCTCTCAGTGCTGTTCCACTACTTTTCAGTGTATCTTCTCTGTTTTGCTCTTGTCAATTGAGCTTTGCTTACTGAGAGTCCGTTGTATTTGTTTTCAGGCCTGTTTACGCTAGTTGTACTTCTTGTTATTACATCATTTTATATTATGTAAGTCAATAAAAGTGCGAAAAACAATAAAATTTGTTATTTGGCAAACTAGATTGAATGTTTTGGAAAGACTTGATGAAGGCAAATCACTAAATATTGGGTAATTTGGTATTTTAAAAGACTGGAGTGGAAATTGTAAAAATCTAGGCCATTTACATTGCTTCACAGTTGTCTCTGGTCATTAGCCATCTTAAACTGAAAGTAGACAGACTAGATATTTATGATGTATGGGTATATGTGAGAAAGACAGCGTTGACTTCTAATCACAGGACTCATGTTCAAAGAAAAAGTCTTTATCTCAGTGAATGCTTATATGTTTTAAATTAAAATGTTTAAGGTGCTGGTGTGGTGTGTGTGTGTGTGTGTGTGTATGTTTAATAGTTTTCCTCTTTTACCACATTAGCTAGCTAGTTACTGGTTTTGATTGCGTTGGGTAAGAGTGATTCTGTATTTGGTACAGAATCTGTACTGTAGAAATTTATAATCAAAATTGTAAAAATCAAATTTATAAATAATTTATTCAATAATTGGAGTGATTATTTTCTCATTGCTTTATAAGTTATTAGATTTATGCCAGTTTTTATTGAATGTGTTTTGTTTTATGCTGAAAAGTAAGCCAGAATCAGTATGGTAGTGGAGGGTGGGGAGTGTTGGACCTGAAGGTCATGAGAGTAAAGAGTAACTTCAGTACATAGAAAACAGTGAGGCCATCAAAAAGGAGGAGGGAGGTGGTCAGGGCAAAACTCAGAATTTAAGATCTTGAGGAAAGAAGTGTGAAATTCAAGAATTTATTGAAGAAGTCATCAATGAAAATTTTGAACTTAACTGCAAGTTGCTGTCAGGATTTGAAAAATGTGATATAAAATGTAGAAAGTGAGCACCAACAATGCTAATAAAAGAGCAGCTTTCCTTGTAGCCATTAGGTATGTACCATTGTGTGAGCTGAATGAAAGTTGGAGGATAGTGTCTGTGAAGAGAGTGCTACTCATGGAGAATTTAGTAAACATTGGCTGGAAAGGTGATCAAGACCATTTAATACTAATATGGTAGAACTTCTGTTCATGTTTACCTTGTATTCTATTTGGTGTTGCTTGTATTAACAATGTTCCTTTAAAAGTTCAGAGATCACAGTTTGCAGTGAGTCTTACTGTTTTTGGCTTACAAATGCCTTTAAGAATCTGGTGAAAGCTACGGACTCTTTCCAAAATACTTACGTATGAACAAACACAATAATTTAAAAATTTTGGGAAGTTCACAGACCTGCCAAAGCCCGGAGAGATCCTGGTTAAGAACAGAAAGGAATTCTGTTACTAATCCTTTTGTGAATTAAGAACAGTAGTTTTATTTCAGTGTATTTTGGTGTAAATACAGATTTTAAAATATTTCACAAAATAGGACTTTTATGGCCAATAATTCTGGATTATCTGTACTCTATTAAGTGAGACACCAGTAATCATGTTGGTAAGAACTTGAAAGTTAGATGACTACCAGTAATAATCTGAAACGGCAGTAGCTAGGAGTGTTTTAATTATGTAATACTGAATGCTGCTCTGTTATAAGCATTAGAAGCTTTTAACATTTACCAGTAAACAGTCAGCTTAAGTCACATGCATCTGTATTTCATTCAGCTCTCAATTTTACTTAAAGAATATGATCTTCAGGTACAGTATTTAAGAAAATAAGAACCATATTTGTGCATGGTATGGCTTTGGGAGAAAGGAAGTTCTGCCTGCCTTGCTGTCTACCTTTCTCCTCTGCTTTCTGCTGACTTGCCTCTCTCCCTGGGTGGGGTGCTTGCTTTTTTCCTCCCTTTTTCTTAGGGTAAATGGGCAACCGCCTATAGCCATTGTTTCAGTAGCAATTGTAAATTGTAAGGACTTACTATATATAACTTTTATATAACTTGGGAGGTACTAAATCGACCACTTTTGGAATTTTATTTCCTTTATTATTGTAACTCAAAAGGATTATTTTTATGTTCACAAGAGTTGTACTAATGTTTATATTATGATTTTGTTTTAACTGCAGGACCGTGTGTACGTACAACAAAATAATGTGGAGAATGTCTACAATTTGGGATTAATTATTTTTCGAGATCAAGTTGTACGTTACGGGTGTATTAGGGATCACCTACGACAAACGCTGTTGGATATGATTGCCAGGGAGCGGAAAGGAGAAGTTGTAGACCGGTATAATAATCTTTTTACTCTTTGGGTTTTGGTTTTTAGTGGTTATATCTTGAGAACCGATTCACTGTCTTAATTTTATTAAAGTAAATTAAAGTTTGATTGTCCAGCATATTATGAAAATACTCAAAAACCTTATATCACAGTTAACAAAGTTAGCTAGATTGTAACTAAAAAGCACACATTTATTTTTAGAAGAAACTATCCTAAGCTTTTATTGAATATACTTTTAAAAAGCAAATCAGCCATTAGTCTTCTTTTTGATTTTTTTATGTATTTTTTTTATGCTGGCTTTTTTTTTTTTTTTTTTTTTTGCTATTTGATAATATTTTTTTTTTCTTCTTTAAAAGGGCTTTTGGCTAGCATTTATTTTTAAGGTCTTTGAAGAAAAAAAATGTCGAACATAGTCTAAAATGACTAAGAACTCTTGTACCCCTTTTGTTAAGTCATATTCCACCCCCCCCAAACATTGTTGCAGTGCCATTTTTGTGACACTGCAGCCAGAGTGGCTTGAAACATGCAAGCCTGCTTTCTTTGCTTCTTTATATTCAAAGCAGCTGTTAGAGGAAGACTTGTAAAGTTCTTTTTATTTCAGCTTTGGTGCAAAGCCATTTGGTGCAAAAAAATTATATTGCCTAGGAGTAACTGTGCGTTGTACCCATGTCAAGTGCTGTAGACTCCCTCTCTCCTCCCTGCTTCCTGATAGGCTGTTTATTCTTTTTGCACTTTTAAATACACAGGAATATTTAGTCATTTTAAACATATTTTCTTCAAAAATCCTAAGTTACAACAGCATGAGAACTTGAGATAAATAGCTGTGCAGTCAAGATACGCTTTCCAATTAAAATTACTGTAAATCCTTATGTTATAAATTAGTTACTTATGGGAGATTGGTCACTTTGGTTAAAAAAACTTGCTCTGAAAGTCTTTCTAGCTACTTCTGCATCTTTTACATGAATCTTTAATGTGTTTTTATTATCAAGTGGTTTAACTTCTTTTGACAGAGGCGCAATAAGAAATGCTTGCCAGATGTTAATGATTTTAGGTCTCGAAGGACGATCAGTCTATGAAGAAGATTTTGAGGCTCCTTTTTTGGAAATGTCTGCAGAGTTTTTTCAGGTAATCAGTGAAGATATAAATAAATACTCTTTTAAGATGTTCTTAAAATTACTGAATATAGTTAGTAATTTAAGCATTTTGACCTTTTTGTACTGAGGCCCTTTGGGGAAGAGGGTGCAAATTACACCCTTCAGTACACCTGCCCCACAGTCTCACATTCCAGTGAAGGAACTGTCTGAAAATAAGTTGAAGAGGTTGGACTTACACACGTGATTTTTTAAAAATTATATGTATAAAACATATAAACTTAGAAATAACCTTAAATTTTATTATATTTATATGTTACTAATTATTTACCGTAGATTCACAGGCAGTACATCACGAATGAAGTTTCACTATTCAGGCTTTTTGGTAATATAAGTTACTAGTAAAATAAATATAGATATATGTATGATCCCATAAGGCATATATATGTCTTAAGAGCTGTTGATTAGGAAATTAAAAGTCAGTAATTACAGTTGATAAAAATTTGCAGCAGTATGTACAACCCCAGATCAACTACGTTGCTGAAAGTAAAGCTAAACCGGTACTATTTTGTAATGAAATGATAAGAAGTTACTGAGTACTATGACAAATGATAAGACAATAATTATAAGGTCATGATAATCAGGCATTCTTCCTGAAAGCCTCAACTGTCTGAGCAATTTATAGTAGGAGCTTTGTAGTGTTGCTAAAGTAGACTTTACTGGTCAACTTTAGTAATAACTTTTTAAAGAACTAAATGAATAGAACGTTACAATAGCTCTACAGTGCGTCATTCGTAGAAGCCATCGGGTGAGTATAGAAGTAGACTCGGTGGGTTTCGGTGTCCTCTGGACTGGCATAACCCCCAGGCCGCTTTTCAGAAATCAGCCTGTAGCCATCAGGAAGCTTTGTGTGGCCTGTACTGGTGAGCCTGGACCATACTTCATGAACTATTAATTTTATAATGTAGGAAACAGGCTTTATTTTCTGGTAACACAGCAACTACTTCTAGATATTTTTGGCAACGTTTTTGACGTTTGCATTTGTTTTGATTACCTTCATTACAGTATAGAAATACCAGTAGATGATTAATTGTCAGGATCCCAAAGTGTGTTGCAGTGGCATATGGATACATCTGTGTGTATATATAAAATACAGTTTTAACAGTGAAGTGATGGTCTCACCAAGATTTTTGTGTGGTGTGTTAATGTTTATTCTTAGAAACTTGATTATTTTAAACTGCTTTTTTTTTAAAACATCTTTATTGGAGTATAATTGCTTTACAATGTTGTGTTAGTTTCTGTTGTACAACAAAGTGAATCAGCTATATGTATACATATATCCCCATATCCCCTCCCTCTTGAGCCTCCCTCCCACCCTCCCTATCCCACCCCTCTAGGTGGTCACAGAGCATCGAGCTGAGCTCCTTGTGCTGTGCGGCAGCTTCCCACTAGCCATCCATTGTACATTTGGTATAAACTACTTTTTATTAAGAGAATGGGAAATGTTATTAAATTTTGTACATAATTTATATTAATACATCTTCTATTATGTAATTCTTAGATATATTTGTTAATTTTACTATGAGATTGAAGTCAGTTGAGCCAACATTTAAAATTTACTGGAATTTCTCTAAGGCTGGTGTTAGAAGACAAGATTAATAGTAACTCAAAAGCTCTATTTCTCAAACTTTATATATATTCCTTTGAGAGCGGGAGTGGGGTGGCAGGAGGACTTTAGTAACTACCAGTATGCCAGCAAAACTGTATGATAAACATGATGAATCTTTTTAGGCATAATTTTACAATAAAACAAATCAAAGAAGAATTTCCCACTCTCACTTGGGGTCAGATGCTTCATTCTATACTTTTGATCTTCACTGGCGTGTGCTTACTTTTTCTGCTATTTGGAATACACTGGCAAAGTCTGAAAAACGCTGCTTAAGGATAATGTATTAATTAAGTCTTATGTAAGTAATGCTTTAAAGGGTATAATTCAGACTATATGAATATATATAATAAGAAAGTATATAAAATGTTAATAGTGCTTGGGATATTTAGTTTGGTTTATGAGAAACTGTAGAAACCCAGTTAAAAGCAGAAGCCCATTTTGCTTCTGTGTTTTTTTAAAAAAAAAAATCATGCTTCTTATTTGCAGATGGAAAGCCAGAAATTTTTAGCAGAAAACAGTGCTTCAGTATATATAAAGAAAGTAGAAGCTAGAATTAATGAAGAAATAGAACGAGTGATGCACTGCCTTGACAAATCAACTGAAGAGCCAATTGTAAAGGTGGTTGAGAGGGAACTCATTTCCAAGCACATGAAAACTATAGTAGAAATGGAGAATTCGGGGCTAGTACATATGTTGAAAAACGGAAAGACAGAAGGTAAGTGTTAGCAGTTGAAAAATAATTAAATTCTTATAGTTCTACCAGGTTCTCAGGACTTTTTTTTCCTATTGTAGTTTCTGAATGTCAGTTTTCAAGAAGTTGTGGTGTTTGTCATTAATTTATCACTGTTGTTACTTTACACATATTAATGAGGATTTTAGATATTCCTAGTGAATCAAGTGGCTTTTTTTCTTCTTTCATCTTAAGTCTCCTCACTTTTTGTTTTTCTTAACCCAAAAGGTAAGTTTAGGGACTTCCCTGGCGGTCCAGTGGTTAAGACCCCGTGCTTCTACTGCAGGAGGCACAGGTTCGATCCCTGGTTGGGGAACTAAGATACCACAAGCCACACGATGCACCAAAGGGGGAAAAAAAAAATAGAGTAGAGGAGAAAATAAAAGAGCTTAAAAAAAAAGAAGACGACTAATATTTATAAGACCAATGATCCTCACCTATTCCTGTACTTTATATTTCTATACCAGGGTGTTTAGACTCTTCTTTCCCACACACTCTCCTGTAGTTTTTGTGATTCTTTTACAACCTGAAGTTCCAATCTTAAAATTTTTGTAAGCACTTCTTTGGGAGTTAGTTGTGGTAAGGGTACCAAAAGTGCAAAAATATGTGTCTTCCATATTTAGATCAATTAGTAGATTGGATATCTTGTTATAGAATGAAAGAGGAGAAAGGAGAATTGCTTAAAAGTAAACATTTTGGAGATAACTGTAACATTCACTCTTCTTGGCTATTTACCTGATTTTCCTAAAATGTTATTTTGTAACAAGTACCCTAGGAGAAATTGTAAAGAATAGTCATGTTGTCCTCCTCAGTTTCTGAAGGTTTTCTTTAAAACTATGACTGGATAAGTCACTGATATGGTATTTAAAAATAAACAAATTTGGTGCTCTTAGATGAAGTCTTAGCAATATTTTAGCCATGTATTTCTTATAAAATAAATGCATATTGCCTGTTGGGTCATGACATAAGTAGGGAATGGAAAAAAAATTTTAAGTTAATAATTTAAAAGAGGAGGATGTAAGAGGAGGGAAAACAAAGATGGTAAGCAGAGAGTTGTTCCATTCTTTCTCTAGTGGAATCTTTGCCTTGTGTTTTCAAATGGTTATATTTCTATATTATGTGCTAAGTTCCTAAAAAGTTGTATGTAAATCTGTTGTTTTTATTAAACTAGAGAAAGTTACTTTTTAAAAGACCCTTCTGGTAAACCTTTTTTATAAAAGCAAAAAAGCAAAACAAAAATGATTTTTAAAGATGTTTGTCATGTTTTCTAAAATAAGCTACTCCTGGATGCCTATGGTCTGTCAGGGATTGGCAAGCTTTTTTTGTAAAAGGCCAGATAATAAATATTTTAGATGCTTGGACCAGGCAGTAAGCTACTCATCTCTGCTGTAATAGTGAGAAAGTAGGCATAGGCAGTAACACAAACGAATTAAACTTGACTGTGTTCCTATTAAACTTTGATTTTTATTTTTCAAACATTTAAAAATGTGAAAACCATTCTTAATTTGTGAGGTATACAAAAACAAGCAGCGGGCTGTAGTTGGTCCATGGGCCATAGTTTGATGACCCTGATCATAGTGATCCCTGACAGATAGGACTTTATGAAAAGCATTTTCCTTTACTTAAAATGAGAATCTATCCTTTTTTTAAAAAAAATATTTATTTATTTATTTTTGTCTGCGTTGGGTCTTTGTTGCTGTGCACAGGTTTTCTCTAGTAGCGGTGAGTGGGGGCTACTCTTCGTTGCGGTGCGTGGGCTTCTCATTGCGGTGGCTTCTCTTGTTGCGGAGCACGGGCACTTAGGCGTGTGGGCTCAGTAGTTGTGGCGCATGGCATTAGTTGCTCCACGGCATGTGGGATCTTCCCGGACCAGGGCTCAAACCCGGGTCCCCTGCACTGGCAGGCGGATTCTTAACCACTGCACCACCAGGGAAGCCCTCAATTTTCTAATGTACTGTTTAGTTATTGAGTTAATGCTTTCTTAGTCACCTTGGGTGGGGGTTATTGAGGAAGGGAGATGAAATGGGCTTGGAGATTAGAGGCTAGGAAATGTTTGATGGGGAGGTTGTTGAGCATACCTGAATTGTAGTAACTGTAACCTGCATGGAGACTTGTGTTAAAGGCATTAAGTATACCTAACACATGGCTAGTGCTTAATAAGTGCATAAATAATGGAGTATCAGAATAGCCACTTACCATAGTTTCTATTTAATACTTAATGTTCTCCACAAGTAAGCAGCTTTCTGTGATTCTAAATTAAATTTTAAAATCATGGCTTCAATTTTCTTGGCTTTCCACTAGAAACCTAATTGCAGAGTATCTTTAATTATGCTGGGCCCTGCTCGTGAGCAGTATGTCAAGAATGTGTCAGAGACACAGCTTCACCATTATGAAGCCAAATATCTCATAAATCAGAAAGTGAAAAAGTTTTTTCCCACCATGAATGGAGGATGAGTTGGATTGATAATTAAATGCAGATAACATTACGAAATTAAGTTTGAATGGTATCATTTTATTGTTTTATGAAGTGTATACAGAAATAATGATATTTAATTTTTGAATGATGCATATTTTTCATTTTCTCTTTCACATTCTCCACTAAGCCATACATTTATATACAGTGAATTACATATAATGAAATTGTATTAATTTACATACTGTTAAATATACATGTGACTAAGCAAAACTAACAACATAGGAACAAAGTAGACAAAGTTGGGAACTAGTTTGTCAGAGGTATTTGGTATGCCAAGTTTACTGTAGTATATATGTTCATAAATTATTGTATTTGTAATGTTTGTTTTTAACATGGGAAACTTGGTTGTAATTTATAACAAATGTGAGAAACTATCAGATTTGCTGTGTGTAGATTATTTTGGACATATATTATTGATGAAAGCACTTTTTAATGAAATTTGCTTTTGAAAGTCATTGAAACAAATTTTGAAGCCCTTTTTGTAAAACTTGTGTCCAGGTATCTTTAAAATACATACAACTTCAGTTTTAAGATCTAAGTTGCTCTTATAAATGTAGACCAGGGTGGGCAAATTATAGCCTGTCTACCAAATCTGGCCCACTATCAGTTTGTTAGAAAAAAAAAAAAAAATCAAAAGAGTAATATTTCATTACACATGAAAATTATATAAATTTTAGATCTCAGTGTCCATAAATCAAGTTTTATTGGAACACAGTCATGCCCATTCATTTATGTATTATCTGCAGCTTCTTTATGGCTACAATGGCAAAATCGAGTAGTTGTAAAAGAGACCATATGGTCCACAAGTTTAAAATACCTACTCTCTGGTGCTTTACAGAAAACAGTTTTCCAGCCACTGATCTAGAAACTACTGTACTAACTCCATATTTAAAAGTTCTCAATCATAAAGCCTTTTTATATCATTGTAAAGTTTTGACACTATAGCCTCCCAGTAAATTCTTATTTCATAGATACATTAGACGTATGGAAAAGCAGTATTTTAACTCCACATTTTAATCTTGTAAAAAATAGAGTCCAGAGTTTTCCTTCTAAATAAAAACAATGTAGTGAGATTAACCAATTTTTAAAATACACATATTGGCTTAGGTCAACACCTGGGAAATATTAGGGATTGCTCTGAGGAAAATATTAAAGAATAGGAATTTATGCTGTAAATTTCACATGAATTTTACCATGATGTGTAATGAAATAAATCCTAGTATATTTAATTTTATTTGTTGTCATGGTTGTCATTTGAACTTTTGAGATAGATATACTTAAAAATTATCTGTAAGATTTTTAAATTTCTTCCTTATTACATTAACTGCCAGTTATACCACAGTTAAAGTTATCCTTTTGATAGTTGTTTTGCAGTATTAACTAGATTCTAGATTAGAATTATATAGGCTAAATTATGTAGGAACTCAAAACTTCAGTTTTCATTTTTTGTGACTATTATGCTGTTTGGACATCTCTTCCATGTAAACTAAAATTTGCTATGACATTTTATTGATGCTTTTAAAGTATCTCATCTGTAAGACGTATTTTGTAAATGCAATAATAACCATTAACTAGCTTTTTTTCCTGTTTTCCTGGGTTTTTTTTTATTTTAATAGTTTTTCATGTGCTCAGCAAATGATCATAATGGAGAAATAAGCTTCTTTAAGTATAGCAAATTAGCATGAACGGGGATTCAAATTTCTGTTCTTAATTTTTAATGTAGCCAATTTGTGTGTTCGTTCTGATTGCAGACCTTGCTTGCATGTACAAGTTATTTAGTCGTGTGCCAAATGGTTTGAAAACGATGTGTGAGTGTATGAGTTCCTACTTGAGGGAACAAGGTAAAGCCCTTGTTTCTGAGGAAGGAGAAGGAAAGAATCCCGTTGACTATATCCAGGTGAGTAAATACAGAAGATTCTCTTTATCATAAAGTAATTGGTCACTTTTACAAAGCTATGTAGCATGTATTTCTGACTTAATTTTTCCAATGGTAAATTAATATGTAATTATCCTAAATATTTTAGAATTTTGGAAAGCATGTACATTTATATCAGGGATATAAACTCAGCCACTTCTTTTCATTTATGAGCTTGTCTGATGAAGAAGTCTTTATTTAAATAGTCTCAGTTCTTTCTACTTTTTTGTATGCTTTAGTGTTCATATACTACCTTAGTGTGTTCAAGAAAAAATAACTGTGTTTTAGTGACTTTTTGGTTCAGGATATTTTGCTTTCAAGCAATACAACAAATATATTATGCTCTCAAGTTTTTCATATTTTAATATAAATAAGCTTTCTCTGTGTATTTTTAAAGCTAATTTTCTCTCAGGCTCACCCATTCAGTCAAGATAGAGGAAGGTGGGGAGAAAAAGTGAGGAGAATCTTTGGTTCATCTTTAATAGAATAATACATAAATGGAAGATAGAATACTACTCTCACCACTGACATTTTTAACAGGCTTAGAAACAGGCTTGAAAATAGCAATATAGAATCTGTAAGTTTAACACTGAATGCACACATTTATTACCAGCAAAGTTAAATGTGTGTAGTTACACGTGTATTGTTTATAGAAAAGTTATTATAATGTATGCTAAGTTTCTTTGTTTTTATTTGGAAGGGCTTATTGGATCTGAAGAGTAGGTTTGATCGCTTCCTCCAGGAATCGTTTAATAACGACCGGCTCTTTAAACAAACTATTGCGGGTGACTTTGAGTATTTTCTCAACCTCAACTCCAGGTCCCCTGAATACCTCTCATTATTTATTGATGATAAGCTGAAAAAGGGAGTCAAAGGGGTAAGTATTAATGCATTTGAAAATATATTAAGTTTTATTTGTAGATATAAAATTAGGAAATAAAATATAAAATTAGGGAATTTTGTAGATATAAAATTAAACAGTCCTCCTTTGCTGTGCTTAAATGTGCACTGTGATATTTGAAAGGATTGTTTCAAGTATTTGAAACGGTCAAAAGTACTTTGACATTTCATTGAATGTGTAACTGGCATCAAAAACAACTACACATCCATAGACTTGAGATTGTGAGGGTTAGATATGCTATAGAGATAATAAGGAACTAGAAAACAGCTATCCATGTGGCACATAGAATGTTGCTTGCTGTCACCTGGTTCTGGGGGTTACGTATCAGACAATACTTGAGTGCCAAAAATTTGAAGGTACAGACTAGAATAGGTATCAGAAAATAGTTTGAAAGCATATATGGAAGCTCAGTTTCAAGCCTTTATAATATATCTGGGATCTTGGAAGCTCACTGCAGCACAGAAAATCAAAATAAGCAGATTGTGATCACACATGAATTGGTCTTCTTGACTTCATCTTGGGATTTGTGAGACAGAAGGGCAAAGCAACAAATAGGTAGCTATAACAAAGAAACAAATAAGAGGAAGATTACTAAGGGCACCAAATAGAAAATAACACAGCTGAGTAGTCTACCATATTTTTTAATATAAGCTTAATACAACCTGCCACAGCATCATCTTGCCCTTATTTAAAAGATTAGGGGAAAGAGGCCTTTTTACTTTTGGAATTATAACAAGTTATTACCGTTCTGGTTGCACAATTTAGATTTTGAATCAGCTTGTATAAAAATATCTGTCTTTTGGCCATGTAAGTTTCTGCCTAGATACTATGCAAGGGCATGGTAAAATTCTTTTATGTGATTAAAATTTCATTTCTTCTGTTCTCAGTCATCCTTTAATCCAGCCATGTATCACTACATGCCTCCCTTTCAGAGGTAGCCCACTAGGGAGTGGAACTCCATTCCAGCCTCTGATTAATGCTGCACTAGATGAGGATTTAGAGTCATGCTACTAGATAAAGTAGGAGGCACTTTCTCTCACTAGATCCCTCCTTCTGACATATCTCAACCAGATGTTTATGTTTGTTATCAAACAGTGCTTTTAAACTATTGATGAACTGTGATGCTGTTTTTGTAGAACTAAAATTGTGTAATTGTTAAATTGTCTTTTCAATGGTTTGCAGCTAACAGAACAAGAAGTAGAAACAATATTGGATAAGGCAATGGTCCTTTTTAGGTTTATGCAAGAAAAAGATGTATTTGAACGTTACTATAAACAACACTTGGCAAGGAGACTTCTCACAAATAAAAGTGTTTCTGATGACTCTGAAAAAAATATGATTTCTAAGTTAAAGGTAAGGTGTATTTAAGATGGAATGGAAAAAAAAAAGATGGAATGGAGTGCACGTCACTAATGATTATCACATAATTGAGCACCAGCAACATGTGACTGGGAAATACTTAATTGATTTAAAATACTTATTTCTCTAAATTAATAAAACTAGATTTTTTTTTTGTTTTGAGCAGGCTGTACTTAGATTTATTCAAGTTCTGGGACATTCACAGTGTGCTGGAATTTCTCTTGGTGTAGCAGATACATTCATTCATGGAGATCTGGGGGAGGATTAGTACAAGGGAAACAATAAAGGGAATATCACCATATAGTTCTGTTTCACAAAGTGTGGTCCACAGACTACTTGTACCCATATCACCTGATATGGGTGTTTCTTGCTGAAAACATAAGAGTTCTAAGCACTGCCTTCAGTGAGGTTTATGGGAATCTCAGAGAGAGTCTGGGAATTTTGCATTTTAAAATAAAATTCTTGGATTAATCTTACACTGAATTTGGTATCCACAGACATAGAACAACTATTGGAAAGATTTAGGAAGGATGACAGTAACATGGAAGAGTTTCTTTGTACATTTTCTAATAGTAAAATCCATCATTTATTTGTGTATATTTGTTTTTCTTCCACAGACTGAATGTGGATGTCAATTCACATCAAAACTGGAAGGAATGTTTAGGGATATGAGCATCTCAAACACAACTATGGATGAGTTCAGGCAACATCTACAGGCCACTGGGGTAAGATTCTTCATTAATTTCTACTTATATAAATGTGTTTATGTAAAGTCTTTTGTAATGGGCATTTTCATCCAATCAGATAACTGAATTGCTGGTGTTATTTTTTTTTTTAACTTTTATTGGAGTATAGTTGATTTACAATGTTATATTAGTTTCAGGTGTACAGCAAAGTGAATCAGTTGTACATACCATATATCCACTCTTTTTTTTTTAGATTCTTTTCCCATATAGGCCATTACAGTATTGAGTAGAGTTTCCTGTGCTATGCAGCAGATTCTTATTAGTTATCTATTTTATATATAGTAGTGTGTATATGTCAGTCTCAGTCTCCCAATTTATCCTTCCCCCCCACCCCATGTCATTTCTTTAAATGCCATTAGTGACAACATATGTATTGTCTGTGAGTGCTTTAAAAATTATTTCTCCCATATAACCTCTTTTTCTAACTATTAATCTTAAAATATTTTTTCTTATAAAACTTAATCTTCCCCACTTGAAGGAATATACTGAAAATTTAATAAATAGTGATTCTGCTGTTATAACCATTTTTAGGTTAGGGAAGGAATACCAGGCTTAGGCAAGCTTACTGAGTTTTAATGCTCTTCCTTTTACTTTACCCCAGGATGGTGCTATCTTAGAATTGTTACCTGATTTTCCTGTACGTCAGTATTCTTATTCATCTGAAATGTCAAGATAAATGGGCCTGACATCCTCAGGGTCGGTGGAGGGTGAACTGAGTATAAAAACACTGATGCTAGTGTGTTATAAATGTGGTTTTGTATTGTGATTCCCAGAAGGCAGAATGCTGCAACTTATATGGCCTTGGAGTCCAGTGGGGTTTTGTGAAGATTCAGTGGGGTTTAATGAAGTTCAGAATTTTCCCTTCTCTCTTCTTTTTTTTTTAAAACTGTTTTTCAACTGTAACTTTAAGTTTAGAGAACTCCACATTTTTTCTTTAATGTTTTCTCTCTCAACTGACCATATACTACTATATAATTAAGACATGTCGCAACCATTTAAAAAAAAATTGGAGGTCTTTTTTTGATATTTAAATATGAGATCATCACTTCTACATCATCACTTCTACTGGTCCCATAGGTCTCATCACAAACAAAATATGTGAAAATACCTAATTCTGTAGAAATGGACATTTATATGTATTAAGACATTCTGACTCAGAGGGACTTCTGTTTCCTCTTTGTTATAAATAGTTGTGTGATTTGCCTCGGATGTTTACAGTGGAGAAAGGCTGAGAGCAGGAAAGATAGACTCTGTGATAAATAGAAATTTGAGTGGGCAGGGACTGAATAATGTGATTATCCTAGATGTTTTTCTCTTTTAGATTGTTCAGGGATTTGTGCTTCATTCTGTATAATGCATTGATAAAATCATATTTTCATATGGTACATTTTTTGTTTCTTTGTTTTTCTTCCACTAATGTTACACATATTAAGAGCTATAAGGAGATAACCTGGTCTGAATAAATGCTGTATTGAAACCATGTAAAGGAATGTTCCCGGATGGGTCCAGAACCCATTTTTTTAGCTGTCTAATTACCTTATCTGTGGTAGTTGAAGGCCTTTTGATAAGAAAATTAAGGTCTTTATTTACTCTCGACCACTCTCTTGCACTTATTTCATTTAAAAAAGAGGAAATGATTGTTCAACGTGATCATTTCATCAGATTGTTTGCTTTTGTTATTTTCTATTGTTATGAAGTTGTGCATTTTCTGTTCTTGCATTTTGATTATTCAGATATATCCTGCACTTTATGGTGGAATATTTGTTTCATAATTTGTTAACCCAGTAAGTAGAGTACTTATCAAGATGCTCAAAGTTATGTATCTGCTAATCTGGTTGAAGCTTTCACTTTGTAAGGCCATTATTTGCATGCAATTATTGGCTATTTTGTAATTGTTTAAACTAAGGATCATAAGCTTTACGTCTCCTAAGCCTTAATCTTCATTAGAAAGATTTGATGAAAAGTGACAGAGGAATCAAAACAAATCTTGAACTTTCTGAAATCTTGGAACCCTTTTAAAACATCATCAATCCTCAGATAATTCTCTGTAACTTTCTTAAAGGTTCTTGGCCTGTTTAAATATACCAAGAGAATGACTCTTCTGTTTACTTTCAGAAGTCATATTAACAAGTACTTTTCTTAAAATGCTAAATAATTGTGGTATATTTTATTAGATAAGTCATATTTATTATGCTGAGGGAAATTTAAGTGTTTGTGCATTTTTTTCCTGTGTTTTACTTTTTTAATGGGGATAGGAACAGGAAAACCACCTCGCTATCATATTTCTGTTTATTTATATCAGCAAATCATATCACATCCAGACAGACTTTTCTTGTACCTCTGTTTCTGTGTACTTGTCCCTGTCATGTGCTATCTTGGAAAATAAACTGAATGGCTTAAAAATATTACTAAGAGGGGCTTCCCTGGTGGCGCAGAGGTTGAGAGTCTGCCTGCCGATGCAGGCGACACGGGTTCGTGCTCTGGTCCGGGAAGATCCCACATGCCGCGGAGCTGCTGGGCCCGTGAGCCATGGCCGCTGAGCCTGTGCGTCCGGAGCCTGTGCTCCGCAATGGGAGAGGCCACACAGTGAGAGGCCCGCGTACCGCAAAATATATATATATTACTAAGAGAGGTAGAAAGAAAAGGTCCAGACCATTAGAGTAATAGTTCCTTGAGGTTCTTTCTTTTTCTTTTTTAATAAATTTATTTATTCTATTTATTTATTTATTTTTGGCTGTATTGGGTCTTTGTTGCTGTGCACGGGCTTTCTCTAGTTGTGGTGAACCGGGGGCTACTCTTCGTTGCGGTGCGTGGGCTTCTCATTGCAGTGGCTTCTCTTGTTGCGGAGCACAGGCTCTAGAGTGCAGGCTCAGTAGTTGTGGCGCACGGGCTTAGTTGCTCTGCAGCATGTGAGATCTTCCTGGCCCAGGGCTTGAACCCATGCCCCCTGCATTGGCAGGCGGATTCTTAACCACTGCGCCACCAGGAAAGCCCTCTTTTTCTTTTTTTAATTTAACAAATGACTCATTGTTTCTGTGCCAAGCGTTGTTCTAGGCACTGGTTATACAGCAGAGAATAGACAAAAATCCCTGCCATGTTGGAGCTTACTTTCCAATCTGGGAGACAGATGATCAACAAGATAAGTAATTACATAGCACCTTAGCTGGTGATAGGAGATATAGAGGAAATCTGTAGCAAGGAAGAGTGGTCGAGGAAGGCCTCCTTTAAAAAATGACATTTGAGGAAAGACTTGAAGATTAGGGAGCAAGACGTGGAGATATGGGAAGAGAGATAAAGACTTCATTGTCTTGGGTGGATTGAACCAAGTTGTGACCCCCTTCCCAATTACAAGTATACAAACAGTTCTCAGCCCCTTCTCCATTCATCATCTAAGAGTCTGCTGTGATCATCTCTCCTATGTGTCATGTAAGATTTCTGGATTCAATTTCTTTAAAATAGAGTAAATCATTTATTAGATATTTATGAAGAAATCTGAGTGTGGAATACTTCTTGATATTTGTAAACTCATTTTAAAAAATTTCTATCACTAAATCATCCAGGTTACATAAAAATGGAATAATGGTTTAAAACAAGCTGAGAATATTAAAAATAAAGATATTTCCCCCTTTAGAATTTCTGTTGATGTGGTTTTTTTTTGTTTTCTTAAAATTGTAATTTATTTAAAAAGAAAAAATATCTAATTGTGATGGTAATGCTAGCATATATTTTGTAGAGGGAGTCAAACATTATGCAAATGCTTATAGAGCACCTGCTGTGTAGAACTGGATCTAGTGTCCTATGCAGAGGTTGTTAGAATGTGAGCTGCATGTGAAAACATGGAGGTTTTGGTCAATAGAGTTGAAATGTGACTGGGATATTAGGAATGTGTTGTTTCTGTGTTAAGATGGTAAAAATGTTTAAAAGCTGAGATGAAAGGTATTATTCTAGAATTTTCCCTAAAATGATACTGATAATGGCCCCTTGACATTTTATCTGAAAAAAATCTTGAGGACCAAAAACTCTGTACTTTTCAATGACACCAGTAAGACTTTGTTCATATGCTAGGAACTTTGATCAGTATTGTAAATTCAGCATCTTAAACAATAATTATAAATGTGCCAGGATAGTTAAAATTAGGAAAACATTGGATGAGTGTAACTGTTAAGAAGATGTGTTTTATTTGCTGAATGTTGGATATGGAGATAACTACTTTGATAACTCTAACACAGTGTCTGTATGGAACAGATAACACATCCTAGCTAATGAGGGGGGAACATTTTCTTCTCTTTTCCACAGGTATCTTTAGGTGGTGTTGATCTCACAGTTCGGGTGCTCACAACAGGTTATTGGCCCACTCAGTCAGCCACACCAAAGTGCAACATCCCACCAGCACCAAGACATGCTTTTGAGATATTCAGAAGGTAAATGTAGATCAAACTTTGTATTTCTAAGTAGAAATTGTCCAGAATTTAGATAAATTTGAGCATTCAGTAGTGTCCCCAATTGAAGGGGTATATACTCCATTTTTAAAATCTCATGTTATCCTTTATGCATTTAATATGTAAGGATGAATTGCATAAACTTTTCAGAGGAATATCAATGTGCTTTCTTTAGCATTAGTGCATGGTTAGGAGTATATTTTGTATTGTTGATGTCTGACACTAGCTTGGGGTGACTTGCTTATTGGGTTAACTATGGAGAAAGGAGGTCATATAAACAGCGGTGGCTGAGCAGCAGCCAGGGGCAAATAAATGTACTGGTAGAAAGTACTTAGTGTGCTACCTTTATCACTTAATATCTAGCTAAGTTTCTTAGGTCTGTTTCCCACCCAGCCACCCCCACCCCTTATTTAGGGCTTCTTTTCTGTAAAAAAAAATTGGAACTGAACTTGATTCCTAAGGTTTTGTTTAGCTTTTAAAGTCTCCCTTACATATATGTTTGTTAAGGATTGGTAGTTTATAATTTCACATGTATAAATTACATGATTCTCAAAAACCTGGTTTGATTTGCTGAAGGTTTTACTTAGCCAAACACAGTGGTCGACAGCTCACACTTCAGCATCATATGGGTTCTGCAGATCTCAATGCCACCTTTTATGGACCAGTTAAAAAGGTAAATATTAATAGTTTGAAGGTATTTTTATTAAGTAACTTAAAATTAGTCTACAGAAGTGATTTGTGATTTTTGTTGACTTGGATAAATTATTTATTTCTTTTATTTCCTTACCTGTTTCAAATATTAAAAAGAGGGAAACTTCAGCTTTGATTTATTGATTTATGTTCCCTTAGTTGCTAACTTCATTTGACAATATGAAGACTATACCAGTAGCCTTCCTTATGGAATAAATAATATAATTACATGTTTTATTTATAAGATTAGATTTGAGATAATATTGCATAAAATAATGGATCTGAGGGCATACAAAGCCATGAGTTTCTTTACAAAATTCTCAGTCTCCTATAATCCTTATTTCCAATAAATTGAAACCGGGAAAGCTAACACTTAAGATTTGTGAAATGTACAAAATGTTGCTAAAGTGATTATTTAAAAATTAACAATACACTAGAGGAGTGCCTTCATTTAAAGAAGTAATTGCTCTTTTATATGTAAAATTGTGAGGTTTAGAGTAATAATTTACTTTCATTGCTTGGTATAAATCAAATCAGGGTCACTTGGCTTAAAATGGCAAAATAATAAAAAGCTTCTAAAAAAACATTAAAAATACCTAAGTTGTCATCTTGGCAGCAAATAACAGTTGCATTAAATATTTTAATTAAAATCTTACTTGTCACCGCAACACCGAAGTTGTTTTTTTAATATTGTTGAAGATGCCTATATACATGTTCTAATTTTTATATTTAATTGAAGTGGGAAATAGTCCTTAGAGTTCAGTTAGTTGAATAATGTTTGACACTATTATATATTTAACTGTAAGTGGGAAGGTCAAGGATACATACTAAAGAACTCAGCTTTTAATGATTGCTTTCTTGTTTCTGTTTTAAAGGAGAGGGGTTTTTTCCCTAAATAGTCATGTTATCTTTTGAGGTTTTATTAAACAGATCAGTAGGTTTTAAAAACATAATTCATATGTTAATTATTGAGGACTGAATTTCTACTCTGTACTTCTAAATCATAGAGCAGGAATAGGCTTTAAGGACGGCAGAGGTTTTTTTCTCCCCATCCTATGCTGTTATTTGAACTCTTAACCATGATCAGACCACACAGAAAGAAACCTAATACTACTTTAGGGTAGTAGTATAATGGCAGTAGCATCATATAAGTCCATTATTATCCTATTGTGTACTTTTAACATAATTTTAGTTATAAATATAAGGAATTACTCATTACTTGCTCAGATACATTAAAATGTTCAGAATGGAAAAAAATGGGACAGTCCTAAATAAAGACTTTGTGTGTATGTATACACACATATTTACACGTTTAAAATAACATTTCCTTTTTATACAGGAATGAGTTTATATCATTTTGTTAAGGGGAGGTTGGGCATTACAGAACTTATTTTTCAAATATACTGTTAAAGTTACTAGGAGATAATTATATCTTGTTTCTATTTTTATATTTAAAAAATTAAACAGGAAGATGGATCTGAAGTTGGTGTTGGAGGGGCACAAGTAACTGGCTCTAATACACGGAAGCATATATTGCAAGTCTCCACTTTCCAGATGACCATATTAATGCTCTTCAATAACAGAGAAAAATACACATTTGAGGTATGGGCTGGTTATGTGAATTTTAACCAGTTGTATTGTTTCTGATTCTCACCTGGCATTTGGGTTGTTCTCAGATTTAGACTGTAGTGAATAGAGCTGTATGTTTAACTTTTTAAAGAAGTTGCCAAACTGCATCCCGAAGTGATTTTCACCATTTTCACCATTTTACATTCCTGCCAGCAGTGTAGGAGAGTTCTAGTTGCCCCACATCCTCTCCAAAATTTAGTATTGTCAGTCTTTTAAATTTTAGCCATTTTAGCTGGTGTGTAATTGTACATATACATTGTGGATTTAACTTCTTTCCTTGACTAATAATGACATTGAGCATTTTTTATTTGTTCATATGCCACTTATATGTCTTGTTTGGTGAATTCTTTGTTCATATCTTTATCGGGTTTTTTAAAAGTTCTTTACAAATTCTGGATACAAATCCTTCGTCAAATCTATGTTCTGTGAATATTTTCTCACAGTCGGTCACTTGCCTTTTCATTTTCTTAATGTTATATTCTAAAGAGCAGAACGTTTTAATATTGACGAAGTCCAGTGGCCACTTTTTTACATTTATGGTTCATGCTTTTGATATCCTATCTAAGAAATTATTGGCTATCCCAAGTTTGCAAAGATTTTCTTCTAAGTGACTTATAGTTTTAGCTTTTACATTTAGGCCTATGATCAATTTCAAATTAATTTTTTTGGTAATGGTTAGAGGTAAGGATTAAGAATTATTTCCTCCCCACACATAAGTATTCATTTGTTCATTTCAGCATCATTTGTCCAAAACGCTAGTCTTTTCCCTTTGAATTACTTTGAGCCCTTTATTTAAAAAAAAAAATTCAGTTGACCATATGTATGTGGGTCTATTTCTGCACACTCTGATCTATTTCATTAATTTCTATGTCTATCCTTATGCTAATTTTACACTATTTTGATAGTGTCAACTTTCTTTTTTTTCCTTAGAGTATATATATTATAATATACTTTTTTATATATAATAATATACTTTTTATTTCTCCCATTAAGTCATGATTTGATTGAATTAAATTCATTTAGTCTTTTCCCATACCTTTGATGAGTAGGTTGGAGTTGAAATGAAGATCATGTGATTTTTAATAAGTTTAAATTAAAGATAAGGAATGAATTTTTTAAAAAGCTGTAGAATTATAGCCATGTTTATACTTAACTGAAAATCAATTTTCAGACATAGGTGAATGAATATAGGAAGAAATAAGTTTAAGTTTGAAATGAAGAGCAAGATTAAATTCTAGGCCTATTTTAATACTCATCTCCATATTCCCTTTTTGTGATGATGATATAGTTAAGAGATGACTGTTTTTATGTGATATACCTCAAGGAAATATTTTGAAACGTAAGTATTTTATTTTTAGGTCAGTGGCTAAGCCAAGAGGTTTTGCTCTTATAAATTTCCAGGCGTGTTTTACCTAGGGAATAACTTTAATTTTCAAGCACAAGTTAAATGTGATTGAGTTCTAAAGAATATTGATTAAGTAAGTATTGAGTACCTTACCCAAACATTGTAAGCCTTTTCAGACAGGTGGAATTGAATTATCTTTAACAGCTTGGATGTTTTAATCTGCTGTTCTCATGGATAATATATTTTAAACAAAATAAGCTACTTGATAAATGCTGCAGTTGGTTTTCAGAGTCCTACTTTATAAAGAGCTGGCAAAAATAGTGGGATAAACAAAAACATAAATTGATTTTCTTAAGCCATTATTGGAATTGCTAGTAATTTTAGTGGTTCAAGCTTCCTTTTCTCATCCCAGTCAGCTTGCGATCAGTGAGGCTAGTGAGCATTGATTTAGGTAGAAGGTAAAATTAAGTAGAAAATTCCTGTAATATTTTAAATTTTAGCTAAGTCACAAACCAGAAGCCTGAGCATAAGTGGCGTATGTAAAATGCCATTCCTATGGCTCCAAAACCTTATGGCTGCTTGCATCTCAAACCGGGGAGTAGTGAAAAGGTACATGAAGTTTTTTGTCTTTACTCACACTATGTGCTTATAGTCAGTCTGCCGCATAAGTTTTATTAGACATCTCTTTTACAGAAATTGCCACAAATTAGAGGAGACAGTTAAAAGTATTTAACTATAGTAATTACTAAAGGAAGCTGATCTCTTATCTTTGAATATTCTTTCTTTATAAGTTCAGTAAGATGGTGTATTCATTATTTAATGCTACACAACAGGTCTCAAATTCATGTTTTAAAACCACCACTAACAGTTTATTATCTTTCGTGGTATCTGTGGGTTGGGGATTCAGGAGGGGCTTTCTGGGTGGTTCTGGCTTGGACTTGTTCGTGAGTTTACATTAAGATGTCAGCTGGGGCTTCAGTTGTCTAATGTTTGTCTAGGGCTGGAAAATGCTATCGGTGTGCGCCTTCTTCCACGTGGCTGGCAAGTTTGTTTTGGCTGTTGGTAAGAGGTCTTAGTTTCTCTCCACATGGGCTTTACCTGTTTGGTTGTCCTTGCCTCCTGGTGGCTAACTTTCCCTAGAGCAAGCGATCCAAGAGACCCAGGCAGAACCTGCAGTGCCTTTATGACCCAGCCTTGGAAGTCAAGTATCATCACTTCCTTATTTTGTTGGTCACTCAAGTCAGCCCTGATGCAGTGAGGGGACCACACAAGGTTAAAACATACCAGGATCATTGTGGGCCATCTTGGAAACTGCCTACAAAAGGTGACATTTATTGTAGTGTCACATTTAATCCGTAGTAGTCAGGCTGCTCAGGCTTTTTCCTCTTCTTATATAGTTTTTGGAATGAAGTCCATATTGTGATTTAGAACAGCTAAAATATGGAAATACATATAGTGTTAATCTGTACCTTGGATTTTTAGTAATAGCATTTAATTTTTGAAAGAGGTATGGATATTAATACATATTTTTCTGAATGTTCTTTATTATACTTTTCAAAAATTTCTGAGAATGAGTCTGAAATATAAAAACTAATTGTAGACAGTAGCAAAATTAATGTCAGACAGAATTTGAATAGAAAACCATTAAACAGCAGTGGTAATTGATAATTCATCGAGAACTTACGTCAGTAATGTGGCATAACAATATATGAAGGAAAATGGTTGGAAGTACAAGGAGAAATAGGCAATTCCACAGTTACAGAAATCCCTCACAAATGTACTGATTGACTATACGATAAAAAAGAGGGATATAGAAGATTTGAATAACACAATTAGCAAATTAAAATTGAAAGCTCTACAGGGAACTTTAAACTCAGAAAGCAAAATACACAAATTGTTCTTGGGAAATATCTGAGGCTGGCATAACCTTATTACTAAAACTGAACAAGGAAAATACAAAAAAGAAAGGGAAGCTATAGGTTATTCAAAATAAATACACAAATCTTAAGTAAAATATTATTAGCAAGTTATATTCAGCAGTCTATTGAAATAATAATCCACTCTGTCCAAACAGGGTTTATTCCTGGAATACAAAGAAGGAATTTGTTAACAGATAGTTACTGAGATTTTATAATCATAATAAAATTAACTGATCACCTACTATATTACCAGACATCATTTCAAGGAGAAAATCAATGATTTCCACAAATGTGCAAAAAACACGCGAGAAAAGTCAGTCCCCACTTCTTATTTCCAGATGGGGGACTCGTAGCCACCTAAGAATAGAATGAAATACCTAATGGCATATGGGTGTGTCTAATGAGAGACCTAAGCTTTAAATGAGAGACCTAAGCAAACAGTAATTAGTAGTAAAATGTTAGACACCTTCCCATTAAGATTAGGAACAATTTAGGATACCTGCCTTTACTACTACTATCCAGCCTTGTTCTGCAGGTCCTAATTAACGCACTAGAAAAGAAAAAGGAATGAAATTTATAAATATCAGGAGTTGACAAAGTTTGTAGACAGTATGATTGTCAGCTATAATAATCAACTGAGAAATGAGGAGAGTTTGGTTGAAAAGTTTTTCTATAAATCATACTTACTGTAAGTCAACTTTTCTCTACATCAGAATTAATCTGAAAATGACATGAGAAAAAGGATGTTTTAATAAGAATCATAATCTTTCTAGGAATCATTCTAACCCAAAAAGTAGAAGACTTAATCGAAAAAGGCAATGAAAAGAATATGGAAGGGTAAATGTACCTGAAAGGGAAAGCTATGTGTTATAAAGGACTTTTTTTTTTTTTTAAGTCACCTATAAATTCAGTGAAATGTCAATCCAAATCTGCGGAAAATTTCTTTTCTGAGAAACTTGACAGGCTGATCCCAGAATTCATCTGGACAAGAAAATGCACAAGAATAGGCAAAGAGGGGCAGGGATTTCGGAGATGGGAAGGCCCAGTAAGAGGGAAAGGAGTATGTCTTAATACCCAGACATACCTCAAAGTTAAAATTGTTTTTAACACGTGTAGACAAATAGGTCATTTGAACAAAATAGAGAGTCCAGAAACAGATTAGTATATAGAGAGGTGTTTGGAGTGCGATTATATTTACCATTTCTAATAAACTAAAGTAACTGCTACTTCATTTGTGGGAATGGAAGGAGAGTAGTATGGCGAACTTAGTTTCATGTGTCATAGCAAATGTAAAATCAAAATCAAATTCCAGGTAGATGTAAGCACAAATCTATAAATGTAATAGAAACAAACAATATTTTGATAAGCGTGATATAAGTAAGGCCTTTTTTCAGGCCTGTTACATAAACCACAAAGAAAAAGACTGACAGATTTAACCAAGTAAAAAGTAATAAAACATGTAAATGATGAAATAAGTTAAAAGAGAAGATAAAGAGTCTAGGAGAGGGCTTCCCTGGTGGCGCAGTGGTTGAGAGTCCGCCTGCCAATGCAGGGGGCATGGGTTCGTGCCCCAGTCCGGGAAGATCCCACATGCCGCGGAGCGGCTGGGCCCGTGAGCCATGGCCGCTGAGCCTGCGCGTCTGGAGCCTGTGCTCCGCAGCGGGAGAGGCCACAACAGTGAGAGGCCCGCGTACCCCCCCCCCAAAAAAAAAGAGTCTAGGAGAAATTATTTACAGCAAGTAAGAGTATTGAAAACTGTAATACGTAAAGAGCACCAGTAAATCAGTACAAAAACAGTTGAATAGAAAAACGTGGAAGGAATACGAATAGATAAAGCACAGAAGAAGAGTTACAGATATCTTGTAAACATAAAAAGATGTTTTTTTCTCCTATTGGTTATAGAAGTACAAATTAAAATAATGAGATACCATTTTTAGCCCAATAGATAGGCAAAAGAAAAAGACAGTTCTGTGTTTGAAGGTAGAATGAATACTTATAACTGCTGTGAAGTTAAATAGTTAAGAAACTTGAAAGGCAGTTTGTCACTGTCTATCAAATATAAAATCTTTATAACTCTGAGGAAACAAGTACATTTCTAGAAATCTGCTTCAGAAACCTAGCTCTTGTACTCAGGCAGAAATGCATGCTCCATCACAAAATTGGATACAATCTCAATCTCCATATTGTGATAGAGCAAGTACTATGGAATTCCCTGTAGCTTTAACGTCGTTATGCAAACATGCAAAATCATCAAGAAATTAATGGAAGAATTCATATGGTGTGATCCTGTTTATATTTAACACTAATACTAGTGTATAGGTAAGTATGTTAATGTACATACATGTATATGTGTATTTGTATTCATGTGTGTGTGTGTATACATATATGTAGATGTATTCTAAAAAATGGCATAGAAGGATGAACATTGAATTGCAGTACAGACATTTCCTGACGTATGGTGGTTTGACTTAAGATTTTTCAGCTTTATGATGGCACAAAGCAGTATGCATTCGGTTGAGGCTGTACTTTGAATTTTGATCTTTTCCCAGGCTGGGATCAGCAAGCTGCAGCTCTCAGCTAGGTGACCACAAGAGTAAACAACTGATACACTTATCACCGTTCTGTACCCAGACAACCATTCTGCTTTTTACTTTCAGTACAATATTCAATAATTACATGAGGTATTCAACACTATTATAAAAAATAGGCTTTGTGTTAGATGATTTTGCCCAACTATAGGCTAAGGTACGTGTTCTGAGCATGTTTAAGGTAGGCTAGGCTTAGCTAGGATGTTCAGTAGGTTACGTGCATTAAATGCCTTTTCAGCTTATTCAGTACTATGAGTTTATTAGGACATAACCCCGTTGTAATTTGAATAAGATCTGTAGCTACCTCTAGGAATGATCTGTAGTTGTTAAAATACCACCTAAGAAGGTATTTCTGGTTCTTTGACTATGGTTAAACAATAATACATGTAAATAAGTCACTTTTAGCATGTACATAATAATTACAGTTAACATTCTAATTATTAATAGCACCTATTTAATTTGCTGGGATTAACATTTATATGTCTAAAGTATGTAGACATACTGAGATCATTTGAAGCAAGGGAATATGCATCGTCATCACTAAAGGTCACATTTCTCAGTTTCACTTACCTGACAGTCCTTTAGAAAAGCCTAAACTGTTCTTCAGAGACTTGTGAAAGGGAGAACAACTCTCTCCAGATCAGTTACATACTCTGAATAACACCCTCTTTATGCCCACTCTTCTTGAGCTCCTTTTGAGAAAAAAACAGCTTTATACAATGTGAATCAAAATGATGTATCCTAATATGAAGATTTGCTGCACCATACAGTACCTGTAGATGTGAAGGGACTAAATCGTATGCATGTACAATTCTCTTACCGTCCCGTTGATGTAAAAAGAATATAATGAATTTAAAAGTTACAGATTCACTCTGTCCTGAACTGCTTTTTTTTTCAGTATTACATTTTATTCATGCCATAATAATGTAGCAAAAATTATCACCTGCACTTCAAAACATATTTCATGTTGCTTTTCATATTTAGTATTAATTATCAAGTATTTAAAAAATTTTTTTCTTAATTTGGTTATACAGGCAGTAAAAATGGTCAACTTGGATTGTAAACTTTGATAATATGATAGAAGACCTTAGGTCAGGCTTACTTTGATTATTTCTAGGAAAGAAGTTGCTAAGCAAAGGAGTAGTATGGATAAACTTGAGAGGATGATTGTAGAGTATAAAATTAGCAATCATATGTTGATTAACACTTTGTTTTTTACCTAAATATTAAAGCAGGTCCCTTAATAATCTCTGCTGGATGACATTCTTAGACTACGCTTTATATCTCTGAAACAAAAAGTACATGTCTTTTCAGTATTTTGTAATTTGAACTACCTTTTTCTCTAATTTGTTCAAATAAGTGAGATTTTAGAGTCATAATAGTCAGAAAGTTCTTTGTTGTAAATTATTTAATGGAATTACCTCTCTAATTACTGCTTGGTCAATCTTACTTACTAATTAATCTTTCAGAAAGTCTAATTATGTTAATCTGATGAAATTTCAGGAAATCCAACAAGAGACAGATATCCCTGAAAGAGAACTTGTTAGAGCCCTGCAGTCCCTCGCCTGTGGTAAACCAACGCAGCGGGTTCTCACAAAGGAACCCAAGTCAAAGGAAATAGAAAATGGTCACATATTTACAGTTAATGATCAGTTCACATCCAAACTACACAGAGTCAAGATTCAAACAGGTATCTGGAATTATATTTTTCTCTCTAAAAAAATTTTATATATTTCTTCTTTCTAAAAAAATTCTTAATTGTTGGATTTCTATTTTTTAAAAAGTAATGCTTTTCTGGTGCTGCATGACACATAGGCTTAAGAAATAGAGCACTTTTATTGATATGTGTTCCTGTCAAAATGCAGTTGAATCCAAGTACAGTAAGCATTTTAAAAAGTCATTCATAATGTGAACTAGTATTTATTTCCATATGGTTTTTGACAAGTGAAATGTAATTTTATGAACATATTAGTACTTATAATTGTTTTTAACTGGTTAACTAATAGTCATTGATGTCTATTTTAAAGCATTTACAAATTTCTCAAAATTGGGAGTTACCTGTTTAAAATTTAATCTTTAAATGCAACTATTTATATTTGATAAATACTTTCTAAGTTTCAAAATTTAAAAACCCATATTCTCTCTCTAACTTAAAACCAGTGATGACCCTGTTGTGAACAGATTTTGGTACAGCTTTTTTTTAGGTTGATGGTAAACGTCCTACTTATTGTATATTTAACAATGTTAGGTGTATATTTTCTATGCATTTAAGGAGGAAAAAAGGCACTTTACCTTTGCTGATTTTTAAAACTCTAATGTAGCTTGCTACCTGGTTTCAAAACTAGTATTAGGTAAGCTTCCCAATGCTAGTTTATCCATTACAGCTAATATGTCTGTACAGTAAGATTAACTTTTTAAATGACTACAATTTTCTGATTTGAAAATGGTTTTACATTATATATTAATAAAAGATAAAGTCTTTTAAAAATTATTTTAATGTTAAATATACAATTGATTGCCGGAATATATTGATTCAAGAACATTTTATATACACTTTTGTTTTTCTTTTTGACCCTAATTGGATATTCTTTTCAAAGCAGGGTGGTCTCTCTTCACAGTCTTGACTACTTTGTCCCATCATTGCAAACCTTATCATTGTATCTTATCTTCATCACCAAAATTGATCCATATATTTGGGACACAGATGTATATTAAAAATAAAACAGAACTGTGCTAAGGAGGGTCATGGAATAAAATTGCTTCTCCTCCCAGTACAAGACATATGACTTTATAGTTTTGGGCAGAAATGGGTTTTGGATATCAGGACTTACTTGAATCTCAGATTTGGAGGATATATGGTGATACATATCTGAAATACCCAGCCTCACCCTGCTTTATCCTAAATAAATAAGTGTTTTTGTAATGCAAGATTCCATTGTGTCCTGCAAATATTGTCAGATATTATTGTGATTATCAAAAAAATAGTCTTCTTCATAGATTGTTAATTTTTGGTGTTAAGTGTGTGTGTATAGTATTTTAGATCTGATTAAAATAGGAATAAAGTTATACATGATGAAGAATTTGACTCGATGACCTTTTAAAGTTCTTTTCAGCTGTAAAATTCTGTAAAGAAAAATGTTTTTCATTTTGAAATGGTGCTTAGATTATCTTGGCTCTTACTGATACTTTGTAGAAGTTAAAATTTTCTCTCTGGTGATAAGTATTGTGACCACGTAGTTTTTTTAAAGTTGTCAAAATACATGTTCACCTTTTTGAGAAAGTACTCAGGCTCGTAATCAAATATTCAGAGAGGCTGATCTTACCTACTTATGCTGCTTTTTACCGTGGTCAGTAATAGACATTCAAGCAAAAACTGAAAAGCATTTACTCAAATAACACAACCTTTGAAAAGAATTAGATTCATTGTATTTTACAGTGATTTCTGTAGTTGACAGCCTTCCCCACCACCAGCACTCACCTTCTCTGTCCCTTTCCTCCTAATACATCTAGATACTTAGGCACCCACTTACACAGCACATACCCTTGTTATGCTCTTCTTAAATGCAGAGAGTATTGTGCTAGGCTCTGGGAGTGAGCTCCTGCCCTCACATTTTAAAGAACATCATAATTCAGTGTGTGTCACCACAATCTTCCCATTTATCTTGGAGTATATTAATTTAGGTGACCAAATTTAGATGAACCAAGTGGATTGTTAAAAAGTTGGGTTTTTTCCCTCCACCATTTTATTTTATATATTTTCACATCTGCAGGAAAAGTGAAAAACGCTCTAATAGATAATAGTTAAAATTATGCCACATTTGCTCAAGCACCCTTATTTCCACCCTCGTGCTCTCCCTCTCCTCCCTTCATATATGTATATATTTCCTATAGCATTTTTTTGAATAGCTCTTTATTGGAGTATAATTGCTTCACAATACTGTGTTAGTTTCTGTTGCACAAGAAAGTGAATTAGCCATGTCCCCATATCCCCTCCCTTTTGAGCCTCCCTGCCATCCTCTCTGTCCCACGTCTCTAGGTCATTGCAAAGCACCAAGCCCATCTCCCTGTGCTATGTAGCTGCTTCCCATCAGCCAACTATTTTAATTTGGTAGTGTATGTATGTCGATGCTACTCTCACTTCGCTCCAGTTCCGCCCTCCCACCCCATGTCCTCGAGTCCATTTTCTATGTCTACCTCTTTTTTTTTAGATTCCACATATATGTGGTAATATATGATATTTGTTTTTCTCTTTCTGATTTACTTCACTCTGTGTGACAGACTCTGGGTCCATCCACCTCACTACAAATAACTCGTTTTCTTTTTATGGTTGAGTGATATTCCATTGTGTATAAGTGCCACATCTTCTTTATCCATTCATGTGTCATGGGACATATAGGTTGGTTCCATGTCCTGGCTGTTGTAAATATTGCTGCAGTGAACATTGTGGTACACGTCTCTTTGAATTACGGTTTTCTCAGGGTATATGCCCAGTAGTGGGATCGTTGGGTCATATGGTAATTCTAGTGTTAGTTTTTTAAGGAACCTCCATACTGTTTTCCATAGTGGTTGTATCAGTTTACATTCCCACCAACAGTGCAGGAGAGTTCCCTTTTCACCACACCCTTTCCAGCATTTATTATTTCTAGATTTTTTGATAACGGCCATTCTGACCAACATGAGGTGATACCTCATTGTAGCTTTGATTTGCATTTCTCTAATAATTAGTGATATTGAGCATCTTTTCATGTGCCTCTTGGCTATCTGTGTGTCTCCGTTTGTGAAATGTCTATTTAGGTCTTCCACCCATTTTTAAACTGGATTGTTTGTTTTTTTGATATTGAGCTCTATGAGCTGTTTGTATAGTTTGGAGATTAATCCTTTGTTGTTTCATTTGCAAATATTTTCTCGCATTCTGAGGGTTGTCTTTTTGTCTTGTTTATGGTTTCCTTTGCTGTGCAAAAGCTTTTAAGTTTAATTAAGTCCCGTTTGTTTATTTTTGCTTTTATTTCCCTTACTCTAGAAGGTAGGTCAAAAAAGATCTTGCTGTGGTTTATGTCAAAGAGTGTTTTTCCTATGTTTTCCCCTAAGAGTTTTATAGTGTCTGGTCTTACATTTAAGTCTTTAACCCATTTGGAGTTTATTTTTGTTTATGGTGTTAGGTAGTGTTCTAATTTCATTCTTTTACATGTAGCTGTCCAGTTTTCCCAGCACCACTTATTGAAGAGACTGTCTTTTCTCCATTGTATGTTCTTGCCTTCTTTGTCGTAAATTAGTTGACCATATGTGTGTGGGTTAATCTCTGGGCATTCTGTTTGGTACCGTTGATCTGTATTTCTGTTTTTGTGCCACTACCGTACTGTCTTGATTACTGTAGCTTTGTGGTATAGTTTGAAGTCGGGGAGCCTGATTCCTCCAACTCCGTTTTTCTTTCTCAAGATGCTTTGGCTATTCGGGGTCTTCTGTGTTTCCATACGAATTGTAAAATTTTTTGTTCTAATTCTGTGAAGAATGCCATTGGTAGTTTGATAGGGATTGCATTGAATCTGTAGATTGCTTTAGGTAGTATAGTCATGACTGTTTGCACAGTATTGATTCTTCCAACCCAAGAACGTGATATATTTCTCCATCTGCTTATGTCATCTTTGATTTCTTTCATCAGTTTTATAGTTTTCTGAGTACAAATCTTTTGCCTCCTTAGTCAGGTTTATTCCTAGGTATTTTATTCTTTTTGTTGCAGTGGTAAATGGGAGTGTTTCCTTTATTTCTTTTTCTGATTTTTCATTGTTGGTGTATAGGAATGCCAGAGATTTCTGTGCATTAATTTTGTATCCTGCAACCTTACCAAATTCATTGATTAGTTCTAGTAGTTTTCTGGTGGCATCTTCAGGATTTTCTACGTATAATATCATGTCATCGGCAAACAGTGACAGTTTTACTTCTTCTTTTCCAATTTATATTCCTTTTATTTCTTTTTCTTCTCTAATTGCTATGGCTAGGACTTCCAAAGCTATGTTGAATAATAGTGGCAAGAGGGAACATCCTTGTCTTGTTCCTGATCTTAGTGGAAATGGTTTCAGTTTTTCACCATTGAGTATGATGCTTGCTGTGGGTTTGTCATATATGACCTTGATTATGTTGAGGTAGGTACCCTCTGTGCCCATTTTCTGGAGTTTTTATCATAAATGGGTGTTGAATTTTGTCACAAGCTTCTTCTCCATCTATTGAGATGATTATATGGTTCTTATTCCTTAATTTGCTAATGTGGTGTATCACATTGATTGATTGCATATATTGAAGAATCCTTGCATCCTTGGGATAATTCCCACTTGATCATGGTGTATGGTCCTTTTAATGTGCTTTTCGATTCTGTTTGCTAGTATTTTGTTGAGGTTTTTTCCATCTATATTCATCAGTGATATTGGTCTATAATTTTCTTTTTTTGTGATATCTTTTTCTGGTTTTGGTATCAGGATGATGGTGGCTTTGTAGAACAAATTTGGGAGTGTTTCTCCCTATGTAGTTTTTTGGAAGAGTTTGAGAAGGATGGGTGTTAGCTCTTCTCTAAATGTTTGATAGAATTCGCCTGTGAAGCCATCTGGTCCTGGACTTTTGTTTGTTGGAAGATTTTTAATTATGGTTTCAATTTCATTACTTGTGATACATCTGTTTATATTTTCTAATTCTTCCTGGTTCTCTCTTGGAAAATTGTACCTTTCCAAGAATTTGTCCATTTCTTCATGGTTGTCCATTTTATTGGCATATAGTTGTTTGCAGTAGTCTCTTGTAATTCTTTGTATTTCTGTAGTGTCAGTTGTGATTTCTTCTTTTTCATTTCTAATTTTATTGATTTGTGTCCTCTCCCTTTTTTTCTTGATGAGTTTGGCTAAAGGTTTGTCAGTTTTGTTTATCTTCTCAATGAACCAGCTTTTACTTTTATTGATCTTTGCTATTGTTTTCTTTGTATTTCATTTATTTCTGCTTTGATCGTTATGATTTCTTTCCTTCTACTGATTTTAGGTTTTCTTTGTTCTTTCTCTAGTTGTTTTAAGTGTAGGGTTCGATTGTTTATTTGAGATTTTTCTTGTTTCTTGAGGTGAGATTCTGTTGCTATAAACTTCCCTCTTAGAACTGCTTTTGCTGAATCCCATAGGTTTTGGGGTCGTCGTGTTTTCATTGTCATTTGTTTTAGGTATTTTTTGATCTCCTCTTTGATTTCTTCAGCGATCTCTTGGTTATTTAGTAGTGCACTGTTTAGTCTCCATGTATTTGTTTTTTTACAGTGTTTTTCCTGTAATTGATTTCTAGTCTTACAGCATTGTGGTCAGAAAAGATGCTTGATACAATTTCAATATTCTTAAGTTTTTCAAGGCCTGATTTGTGACCCAAGATGTGATCTTTCCTGGAGAGTGTTCCATGTGCACTTGAGAAGAAAGTGTATTCTGCCACTTTTGGGTAGAACGTTCTATAAATATCAATTAGATCTATCTGGTCTCTTGTGTCATTTAAAGGTTGTGTTTCCTTATTTATTCTCTGTTTGGATGATCTGTCCATTGGTGTAAGTGAGATGTTAAAGTCCCCTACTATTATTGTGTTTCTGTCAATTTCTCCTTTCATGGTTGTTAGCATTTGCCTCATGTATTGAGGTGCTACTGTGTTGGTGCCTAAACATTTATAATTGTTGTATCTTCTTCTTGGATTGATCCTGTGATCATTATGTAGTGTCCCTCCTTATCTCTTGTAACAGTCTTTATTTTAAAGTCTATTTTATCTGATACAAGTATTGCTACTTCAGCTTTCTTTCCATTTGCATGGAATATCTTTTTTCCATCCCTTCAGTTTCAGTCTGTATGTGTCCGTAGGTCTGAAATGGGTCTCTTCTAGACAGCATATATATGAGACTTGTTTTTGTATCCATTCAGCAAGTCTGTGTCTTTTGGTTGGAGCATTTAATCCATTCACGTTGAAGGTAATAATCAATATGTATGTTCCTGTTACCATTTTCTTAATTGTTTGGGTTTGTCTTTGTTGGTCTTTTTCTTCTCTTGTGTTTCCCCCTTAGCGAAGTTTCTTGAGCGTTTGTTGTAAAGCTGGTTTGGTGGTGATGAATTCTCTTAGCTTTTGCTTGTCTGAAAAGCTTTTGACTTCTCCATCAAATCTTCTTTTTTTTTTTTTTTTTTGGCGGTACGTGGGCCTCTCACTGTTGTGGCCTCTCCCATTGTGGAGCACAGGCTCCGGACGTGCAGGCCTAGCAGCCAGGGCCCACAGGCCCAGCCGCTCCACGGCATGTGGGATCCTCCCAGACCAGGGCACAAACCCGTGTCGCCTGCATCGGCAGGCAGACTCCCAACCACTGCGCCACCAGGGAAGCCCTCTCCATCGAATCTTAATGACATCCTTGCTGGGTAGAGTAATCTTGGTTGTAGGTTTTTCTCTTTCATGACTTTAAGTGTATCCTGCCTCTCCCTTCTGGCCTGCAGAGTTTCCACTGAAAAATCAGCTGATAAACTTATGGGGATTCCTTTGTATGTTATTTCTTGTTTTTCCCTTGCTGCTTTTAATAGTTTTTCTTTGAATATAATTTTTTTTACTTTCATAAACATGTGTCTTGGTGTGTTTTACCTTGGGTTTATCCTTTATGGGACTCTGTGCTTCCTGGACTTGGGTGACTATTTCCTTTCCCATGTTAGGGAAGTTTTCAGTTATAATCTCTTCAAATATTTTCTCAGACCCTTTCTTTTTCTTTTCTTCTTCTGGGACCCCTCTAATTCAAATATTGGTGAGTTTAGTGTCGTCCCAGAGGTCTCTGAGATTTTGTCTTCAATTCTTTTCATTCTTTTTTCTTTATTCTGCTCCTCGGCGGTTATTTCCACCATTTTGACTTCCAGCTCACTGATTTGTTCTTCTGCCTCAGTTATTCTGTTATTGTTTCCTTCTAGTGTAATTTTCATTTCAGTTATTATGTTGTTCATCTCTGTTTGTTCTTTAGTTATTCTAGATCTTTGTTAAACATTTCTTGTATGTTCTCAATCTGTACCTCCATTCTATTTCTGAGATTCTGGATCATCTTTACTATCATTATTCTGAATTTTCAGGTAGATTGCCTATTTCCTCTTAATTTATTTGGCCCTGTAGGTTTTTACCTTACTCCTTCATCCGTGACATGTTTTTTGCTGTCTCTTTTTTTTTTAATGAGTGGGGTTGTGTTCCTACCTTACTGGTTGTTTGTCCTGAGGCTTCCGGCACTGGGGTTTGTAGGCTTATTGGGTAGAGCTGGGTCTTCCTGATGAGCTGAGGACCTCTGTGAGTCCTCACTCTGATGAATATTCCCTGGGGTCTGAGGTTCTCTGTCAGTCCAGTGGTTCGGACTTGGAGTTCCTACCGCAGGAGCTTCCGCCCAACCCCAGGCTCATGAACCAAGATCCTGCAAGCCGCCTGGGGCAGCAAAAAAAAAAAAGAACAGTAACAGAGTAAAAAATAAAATTAGATTAGGAAACTAACAGATACGTTAGGAAGAATATAAAAATATAGATGAATCAACAACCGGAAGGTACATCAGATCAGTACCACAATAGTAAAAAAAAAAGAGAGAGAGAGATAAAAGAAAAAGGGATAGGGGCCTTGGCTGTGGAGGGGTTGCTTAAGCAAGGGTGTGGTTTGGGTGGTGGGCAGGGCCTATGCTGAGGACCCACAGGGCTGGAAAAGGCCCTGGGGGCTGTGGGGGGTGGAGCTTAGGCTCAAGGAACAGAAGGGGCCCAGGCTTGCCCCCCACACCCGGTCTCAGAGGGCAGGGGACCTCGGGGCTCAGCAGGCTCCCTGGGCTCAAGTGGTGGGGCAAATGCCCTCCTCTCCTCTCCTGCGCCTCTGGTCTGGGAGGGCCCCTCCTGATCTCCTGGGCCTCCCTCCTGTGCCCCCAAGGACCTGCGTGGCCTGGAGGGGACTTTGGGGGCCAGGGAACTGGCCTGGGAACTCAGCAGGCTCCTTTCCCACTCTTCCTGGTGAGTCCCTCCTGCCTGTGTCTTCTGATCTACCCGGCCTCAGGGGCGCCGATCCTGTCTGGCCTCCACTTCTCCTCCCCCCTCAGTCCCCCTGTGTCCTACCGGTTCACTTTGCAGTTCCTCCTGTCTCCTTGGGCATGAGAGTCCCCCACCAGCAGCCGGCAGGTGCCCTAGTTGTGGGGAGACGCTAACTCCGCATCTTTGCACACCACCATCTTGACTCCGCCTCCTTTCCTACATCATTTTAACTTAATTTGCAAGCATTATAACACTTCCCACTTAAATACTTGAGCATATACCTATCTCAGAATTAAGATTTTGCCACCTAATTGTAATACTGTATCACACCCCCCAAAATTAATAATTCCAAACATCTATATATCACCCATATTTACATGTCCACAGTTGTCTCAAAAATGCCTTTCGTATCTTATTTTTTGGATCCAGGATTCAGTCAAGGGTTCCACATTACATTGATTTTAATGTTTCTTTAGTTCTATTCAATCTAATCCAGTGCCTCTATCTTTTTTTTCCCCTTATGACATTGAATTTTTGAAGAAAAGCATTTTTCTTCTTTAGTTGAGCATTTTATTCTAATTTTACTCTTTTTTATTAAGGTATTGATTAACTTGGGAGAAGACACTGAAAGCAGAATTCTTAACCAAGGGATTCTAATTAGAAACAGCTGAATGAATATGCCCACCAAAATGATCTTCTAGATTGTACAGTCTGCTATCTCCTGGTTGTGCCCATGCCTAAGTCAGCGATGTTGCATATGGTTCTTTGTAATTTTACAGTTTCTCCCTCCAGAAACTTCACATGTATCTCCTATTGATGACCAAATAAACAAAAAAAAATCTTTCTCTGCTGCTTCACTTAGCGCAAAGTTATAAGAGAAAGGGACTTGTATACTTAATTCTTTAGCAGTTGCCTTGAAGACTATAGGGAATAACAGTAAGACTTCTAAAGAGTGGAATATAGTTTGCATTAGTGATATTGAGATTATGACATTTAATAATTACCGGGATACATGACAAGAAATTGTTAAATAATTGATGAGAGGTACAAAAGAATTGTTACGGAGTTTGGTTAAGTGACATTCTAGTGGTACTTAAAATTTTTTATTCAGCTAACTAAATCTTGGCAATACATGTTCTTTCCTCCTCTTAAAGTCCCCACATTTCTCCTGTTTGAGATGCTTTTGGTGAGGTTTAACTTGGAGTCATAGTGGTAAAATACTAGTTAACCTCTGGAAGTCACAAGCAATGAAAATTATTTACTGATAATTTTACTGCTAAATATATCCAGCTAGTGTTTTTCTTCTAGGAAAGGAATCATTGAATTCTATAAAAATAAAATTGGTTTTATTATCTCTGTAAAATTGAACTCCTAATATTTAAAAAGAATAATTTAGAATTGAAGAATTTTTATATCACTGCTTGTTAATTTAAATATTTATTAAAGTAAACGTTGAATTAGGCACTTTTTGAGTGTTTAATTAATAAGTATATGTGTGGTGTATATTCAGAGGTTGACATTGATTTCTCTCTTGATAATAGTAAATTATATTAAGCTTGCTTACAAACATTTTTCCTTACTTTTGAAGTTTACATCATAATCACATGGTAAATGTCTTTATTTCTCTTTTAGTTGCTGCCAAACAAGGTGAATCTGACCCAGAAAGGAAAGAAACAAGGCAGAAAGTAGATGACGACAGAAAACATGAGATAGAAGCTGCTATAGTGCGGATAATGAAATCTAGGAAGAAGATGCAGCACAATGTGTTAGTAGCAGAGGTGAGGACACTTCCAGACTGGATTAATGTAGAAAAGACAAAATTACTTTAACTATTTAAATTTAGGAAAGTACTGTATTCAGCTAATTTAAAATACAATCTTAAAATTAGAAAACTGTAGTCAAATAACACATTATTAAAAGCATGGTACTTGCTTGATAGTTAACATAGCAATGCATCAAAATATGTGCACACTTTAAGAACTAATATGTTTGTAATGAAGATAATAATAGAATATTGTCACATGAAGAATAAAGAAAAAACTTTTCACTGCTATAAATTTAGTACTTTGATGTAAAACAAACTACCCATACTTCTAAAAATTAATGGCTTATTTATTGAGTAAAAGTTAGGAAACTAAGGAGGGGAAGACCATTGTGAAGCCATTGAAATAGTGAGGAACAAGGTGATTAGGGCTGAATAAAATATTGGTTGAAGATAGCTGAATGAAGACACATAGGAAGTGAAATTGACAGCATTTACTGACTGATCGTGGGAAATGAGAGGGAGGAGTGGAGGACGACTCTGAGGCCCTTGCTTGCTTGGCCAGGTAGAGGCTGGTTTCTTTAACTGAAAAGGGAGGGGCAGTGTGCTGCTGTGTTCCACGGGTCAGCTAATAACACTTTTTATAAGTTGACTTCGTATCACATGGCAGAGAAAGAGAATTATAGGTGAGTGGTCAGTCAGTAATTAAAAAAATCATTAAAAAACCAAAACAAGTAAACCTTTAAGACATGTTGGCAATTAGGTGACTGGTTAGTTTTCCCATTTTCATTGGACTGGTAAGAATAGACATTTGATGGCAGTTCCTTGAGAAGTAAATGGAGGTGAAACCACCAAGTGAGTGGTTTCTCCTTTGAGGTGTTGGCTTGTGGGAAGGGCACAGAGAGCAATACTAGAGGATTAAGTGTTGAGTTGAGGGCTTCTGGGTACTGTTTTTCTAGATGGGAAGACATTGAGTTATATTTATATTCTAAGGATAGGAAGAGATGCTTAAAAACAAAAGGGAAGAAAAATGAGATGAGGGGATACTTGATGTACTCAAGTCTAGAAAAAGAAAGGCGAGAGGGTTGTATAGAGAACACAGGTAGGTGGTAAATGTGTTAACAGGGATACTACCAAATACCTTTCCCGAGAGCCCAGGGCTGGGTGCAGGGGTGGTTGGAATGAAGCATGGAAACAAGCATGGACAAATGGATAAATGTAAGGTTGTGGGAGTTTGAGGAATTTCAAACTGAAATGGCCTCTTTTCTTATGTAAAACAAGATGTGAGGTTATGGTGCTTGAGAACTTGCTGACCTTGAATGCTGTAAATTTGTGTTATCAGTCTAAACCAGAGATTGGCAACCTTTTTTTAAATGGCCAGTTGCAGCATGAAAGCACCTGTAGATAACAAGTGAGTGTGCTGTGTTCCAGGAGGGATTACAACAGGCAGCGGGCTGTATTTGCCTGTGGACCCCAGGTCTACACAAAAGGTGTAAAAACGCCAACTTTACTCAATAAAGAACCAAGTAGTGGATTTTGGGTGATGTAGTAAATGTAGAATGGGTGCTTACGGAACAGAACCAAAGGAGTCAGGGAGTTGAAGGTACTGTTGGGGGTGCAGCTCAGGTGATCTTTTATGAAGGAAGGAGGTGAGGTCAGATGAAGAAGTTATTGATAGCTTAGAAGAAAGGGCCAGAGGATTGATTCAGGGTCTCAAGTGGGTTGAGAACAAGTTTGTTGATACTGGAGTGATAATATTAGCAGAGTGATGGATTTTAGTTGGGGAGTGAAGTGCTGACGTTTCCGATTTTGAAGAGTTAATAATCCATTGTAGCCTTCGAAATGAACTGATCCAACACAAGTAAAAGAGAAGCTGGCTTATGGCTAGATGAGTAATCTGCAAGATCACTAACTGGATTAGTGAGAAAAGCATGGGCTTCAGGGGCAGGAGGATGTAGATTCTCATCTCTTCTGGCTCTATTTACTACTTGTTCATATCATTTTTCCTTTCTGGCTTATTTTCCTCATTTGTTAAACGAGACAACCTACTTTGCAGGGTTAAGAGCATTAAATAAATAAATATACACAAAACTGACTGATACATAGTGCATAGTCAGATTTTGGCTACTGCTGTAGTTAACTGTTTCATTATTACCGATGTCACAATACCTAGAATCCTGACAGCTGTTGGAGAAAATCCCAACAGTAGCACTTAACTATGGACTGGGCATTATTCTAAAGCATCACATTTGTTAACTCATTTAATATACACAACAACTTCATGAGGTTAAGTAACTTTCCCAAGGGCCCAGAGCTAGTAAGTCGTAGAGCTGGGATTTGAATCCAGGCAAGTCTGAGTCCCGAGTTTGTGCTTTTAAACACATTATGCTACCCAGATTCTGTGAATTGGGAGAGTAACCCAGAAGTCATTAGATTATAGCTTCAAAATGGGTTAAACTATATGGTGGTATAAATTCATACTAGTATATTTCCACTAATTCGTCTACTAATCCACTTTAGCATTCACATTCTGATTTGAGGAGGTATGTTCTAGACATACATTACATTTTCAAATAGAATCCTTTTTAATTTTCTGTATTTTTAATGTTCGTAATCAAATTAGTAAAGTTTGAGCTGAGTCTTAAAATTACATATCAGTTCTACTCAAAAATAAGAATTTTTGTGTGTTTATATAGAAATGTTTTTTGTTTTTGTTTTTTAATTTTCTGGTAGGAATTAGTGTTTTTTTTTAACCTTCTCTTTTAGGTAACTCAGCAGTTGAAGGCTCGATTCTTACCAAGTCCAGTTGTTATTAAAAAACGTATCGAAGGACTCATTGAGAGAGAATATTTGGCACGAACACCTGAGGATCGCAAAGTATACACATATGTAGCATAAAATGCATTCAGAAACTTGATTTATTATTGGACTGTACTCTTCGCATGGACTGGGAAGTTCTTTTAAATCATTAAATATTAAGACGACCATCTCTTCTATTAAATTACAGTACATGTTTTAGACCATTCAGATCAAGCCTTTACTCCCTTTGAGAGTTTTCAACATCAGTTGATTGAGCTTCAGGCTTTACAACGTTTATCCCTGTAGAGATCATCTTTACAGTTCCTCGGGAAAATGTGAATGTGCCGCGTTTTGTTTTCAATACTGTATGAAAACAGGAAAAAATAAAACAAAATTTAGAAAATACAGCTCATTAAAATAAAATTGTTGGATTTCATTTCCCCAGGTCTTCAGTGTTCATGTAAATGTGTTTTTGTAGTGTTGCTTAGCACTTTGCGCATTGTATAAGTTGGGTAACAGAAATGGTAAAAGAAATGACACAATTCCCAATTATCTCGCTCTGCTTAAGGCATTTCTTTAGCTCGTCTTGTTTAAAGGTTTGATAAATATACAGAGACCCAAGCATAAAATTTGAGCATGCTTTATTCTACCACTTGCACTTACTAATCTAATAGCCTAATGACCAGGAACCTTTGTTTTGGGCTCAGTATACACCCTGGTTTGATTTTTCCCTACTGTAATTTGAGATGTCACAAATTCTTACAATGATTAGGTTTTGTTCTGCATTATCTCTAGAGAAAGAAAATATTTTAGTATGTATAAATTGTACAATAATTTTTTGCTGTTGTACTCACTGCTAATAGTGGATTGTATAGGGCAGTGTTTTTATTTCATTTATTGTAGACAAAAATAAATGAATTTAGTATACACATAACTCACTAATTCAGGTGTGTCAGAGCACAAAGTTGGCAGCTGGTTGTATTTAATTCAGCCCCTCTGAAAAGCACATACAGTCTACACTTTGTTTCTAAATATCTTAGGTTCACCCTCTCTTAAATATATATTTTGATGAAGCTGGGATGCACTGTTAATTTTCTGTTTCAAAATGCATTCTAAAGATGCAATAAATATGATTACCTTAATATTTTTTAATAAGATCTTTAGTTCTTGCAGCTGCATTTTGGAAAGTGATTAAGCAATATTTTTCAAACCTGATGATTCTTGGATCATTCTTAAGCTGTTGTCCTCCAAAGAGTCATCGTTTCATGTTTTCAAAAGATGTGCTTTGTGCTGAAGATCCATGTCAGTTATCCTGTGCTTCCAACTTTCACCAATATTTTTTACCTGATTGATCTGCTGAGGATTATAGTTTGCTTTATTTTAACTTCAGAGTATTTTTATCTTCAGTTTTATTTAATTTTGTTTTCATAAGACAGTGTTTCAGATATGTAATTGGGGCAAACCACTATAGATTTCTGTTGATAGAAAAATGACATGTTACTAATAAGTTCAAGTAACCAACTGACTATGATACTGTTGATACATTTATTAGAATGTATGTCTCAGAAGATGGTATCTGTTTAAATTTATGGTCAAGTTACAACTGAATTCTAATATGGATTAAAAACTCCACATAAATATTTTTCCCCATGCGTCTTGGGTTATAATTTTCCTTTAAGACTTGCAAATATGCTCTTCCTACATTTAATTTTGTCTCCATCTGTCCTGTAGAATTATAAGTCTTATGCTCTTAATCTCTATGTTTTCCACTTCTACGTGATGCAATTAAGATACAAATGAAAACTATCATGAACATTATTCTCAGGATACTTTCACCATACTTGAGTGATAGTAGGTCAGGTGTAACAAGGAAAGCTGAAGGGTTTCCCTTTCTGATTTTACACAATTGTAATTTCTTTAATGACAGGGTGTTTACCTACAGGAAAATACTGGTTATTTCACGTTTCATAATTTTTTTATTAACTTGACAATCTGAGTGTTCTGTTTCCCAAAGTGTTGTATATATCATTTAATTGGTATATATATAACACTTTGGGAAATAGAACACTCAGATTGTCAAGTAAATAAATATGAAAGATGTAAAAACTTCCATTTGAAATCTAAATGAGACATTAAAACAAAAATTTAAGTGTTGGTTTGAACTATTAAAAATCAGTCAAGTTAAATTTATGTCATTGTCTCAAGTGTGGATGTACAAATCACATCTAGAATTCAGAGACATACTTGTTAGTTTTGGAGAACAGGTTTGATATTTATGCTTTTAAATGCTTGTAAATATATTAAAACATTTCTGAATTGCAGTTGTATGGTGGGCGAAGGCAACCATTTGCATTCAGTTGCATTTCAGTCAATTGCAGTTGAGTCAAGTGGTCGCAAAATGATGCTGCATTGAAAAAGAAAATTGGATCACCTAACATGTTTTATATGTTTTAGCGCATTTTATTTTAGCTCATTAAGCTCATAGTGATACATTTTGACCTTGCTTTTCAGCAAGAGATCATTCATGCCGTTTTTCTTCATTTTTTAATGTCTTAATCTCAAAGAATAATGCATCCTAACCATTCATTTAATCCTGTTGATGTGAATAGATCTTGGTGATTTACTTGAAGAATTTTAAGGAGGATGGATGCATAGTTTTACAACTGCAAAAATGATGTACTCTTTGTTCACTTGTTAAATTGTAATTCTCTGCTATCATTTTTGAATCCAGGACAGTGTTTATTTTGAATTGTTATATAGTTATATTATTTAAAGATTGAAAATTCATTGCAGTTAGGGAACACACAGCCTCACAAAATAAACTGTGGTTGTGATTGCAAGGTTCTTTATGTCAATGAGTTTTAAAAGGGGATGGGGAAGGGGTGCATGTCTCGCTAAAGGATGTGTTAAAATCACGTGTGTAGCACTGTAAATATAGACATGTACCACCCCCAAACTGCAAGATGCTGGTACACTTTCTTGACAAAGAACTTGTCATAGTGAAGCACTGTTGATGTTCCATCCCTCTGTGTATGTTGGGTAGCAAGAAAGGCTTAGATGGCAACTAAGGGATCTTACAATTATGCCTCCATCCCTAGGAGACTAGTTGGCATGATCTCAGGCTTCTAAATATTTAGTTCCTAATTTTGGAAAATAACCGTAGTGTGTTAAATCCAGATAATGCTGGGGGGTTTTTTGTTTACAATTTTAAATACTCATTTTGAATAAGTATTAGAGGGTTATATCTTTGCCTGCCTACTGTAACTTAAGACTCAGTTTTTATAGCCTTGTTTTTCACATGGTATCTGATGAATACTATTAGATTGTTTCAGTCTGGGGAGGAAAGCTATCACCTATCGAAATTGTAGATCGTGTATTCTCTATGGTGCATATAGTCAGTCAATAAGTGTTTTGTACTCTTGATAAGAATGTTAAAACATTTCAGGTTAGCAAAATAACATAACATTTCTATTCCCAAAAGCAGAAGTAATAGAAATGTTAAACAGTAACAACATACGTACTTACCATCATGTGCCAGACACTATTTCTGAGTGCTTTTTATATGTATTTCATTTAGTCGTCACATGGGCTCTATGAGTTGAGAACTGTTAATTATACCAGCGTTGCCCAAGGTTGCTACTAGGAAATGGCAGAGCCGGGAGCTGGACCTAGGTTTGATCATATGTCTGGCTCCTAGCTTATCTTCCATATTGCAGATTGGCATCGTTTTCTATTTATAAACGTATCATTTAGTTTGTATCTCATTCACATGAAAAAGAACTTATGGCAAGCTAAAGTTAAAGATAATACACAAAGCATCTCAATATGGAACTTGAAGCATCTCAATATGGAACTTAAGACATTTTTATTGCCTTTATATTACTTGCTGATCACAGTTTTTAGTAGGAAGGGATACAGGGAAGGTAAAGGCTGCTATTCTGGAGTCTTAGTGAATGTCTTACATATTTTAATGGGTAACATGGATAGATGCTTTATTTAAATTCAAATCTTGGGTTTTGAGAAACATTTTACTTACTGCATGCCTTTTCTATACCACATCATTTATGTAGCCAGAAGTAAGAGAAGACCTAAGAATGACTGAATATAACAAGTAATGATACAGAGGTTGGTCATGAAGCTAACTTAGGGAAACATGAATAGCTAGAACAACTTGAAAGCCGATTTAATAATTTTAGAAATAGCAAATTTGTAAATGGGTCATTTAAGTGATTTGATCCTTAGTATTAGGGTCTAAGGTGAACCTCCAGTAAGCCATGCCAAGATAACTGTGTGAGGAGCTCAAAGTAATCTTAGGAACATTTTAGTCACAATGAAATTGTCGAAGTTCAGGATTCAGGTAAAGTACAGTTGAAATAATACACGAAATTTTAGGAATTTTTGCAGTGTGGGAAAACTAAAATTCTAAGTCTTAAAATTCTTTCTGCAGTTGTGATTCTTGAATAAATGCCTCAGCACAATGTCTGGCATGTGGTGGGTGTAGGCACTCGGTAAATCTCAGATGAATGTGCTTAACGATCACGAAGTGATTTGGAAGAAAGTCTTAAAAAAATTGAACTTCGTAAATTAAAATTTGTACTGCTTTATCAGGAGAATGACAATATTCATGGAGTAAGGATTATATATTTTTTACTTTTATAAATGGAAATCACTTGATGTTTGGTTTTTAACTAGGTAAAAAGTGGGAAGTGTAGACCAACTGCTGGGTTGTTCCAGATGGTATTAAATGCTGATTTTAAAGCCCTCTTTGACTCACAACATCCCATGGAAAAAACTCACTCAGACTAGTGATATAAAAATTCATGATCCCACTTAGAGCTAATGGGGTACAGGAATTTGGGCACAGGTCTGTGTGATTCCAAAACCTGTGCTTCTCTAATTAGTGTTAATGTGTCCCCAGTTGTTTTGGCAGATGATGGGCAAAACTTTATGAACTGAATTTGCATCTGAAAGGTGATTTTCTTGGTGAGTATTATGGTGAAGGTTTGTGTTGTTTTTTTTTTTTTTTAGAAAGTGTTCTTTGGAGAATTTGATACTGTGAAACTTGTGTAGAACCTGCACAAGAGAAAATCTGGCAGAATATTAGCTGTGCATATCACTGTATGTGGTATATGTGAATTGTTTACAGTAAGTTTATAGAACTGATGTCAGATAACAATATCTGTAGAATTAATCTTTTATTTCCTACATGATGCTATCCTCTGTATTAAAAAAATAACCACTAGACTGATTTTTTCTTTTTTAATGGAATGCAGTTAGTCGTAAGCAGAAAGAGACAAAACTTACCTAAAGGGCATGGAATCAAGTGAGGAAAAGGATGAAATCTGCATTTTGTTGCAGTGTGTAGCTCTAGCAATAGGCAACCAGTGTATGTAACTGTGAAATAGACTCTGTCAAAAGCCTGCTGCAACTTCTACATCTG